CTCCGGGGTGTAGTGGTAAGACACTCGCCTGGCGTTCCGCGAGCGCTTTGTCATGGGTTCGTATCCTGGCCGGGGAGGATTTACTGGGAGCAAATCCTTAACTGTAGCCTCTGTTTAACGCAACAGTAAAATGTGTACTTGGTTGTAACAACGATTCTTCGCGGCGGGGATCGTATTCCAGGGACCTGCCCGAAACGCTACGCGTACTAGTGGCTGTACAAGAATGTAACAACTCTTGTATATATCTCAAAAAAGAAAAAAAAAAGAAAAAAATGCTAAGGAATCTTCATGTTCGGGTATTTTATATATATATATATATATATATATATATATATATATATATATATATATATATATATATATATATATATATATATATATATATATATATATATATATATATATATATATATATATATATATATATATGTGTGTGTGTGTAGTATTTCTATATATATATTTCTATAGTGGGAGTATTTCTGACCATATTTGGTAATTAGGTAATAAACATTCATATATTTGTGCAACACGGAATATGCTTGAACATCTATGAGCATCAGGGACTTTTTGCGCACATCTGCCCAATAGGAAATATTGCGGCACATATGAAAGCGATAACTGAACCAAATTCGTAACTGTATATTTGTAGTGTGCCGATATCAGTCAAGGCAGGAACAATTTACGTGCGCTATTCTGTGAATGCAAATCAAGGGGCATATCAAAGTGGAATGTTGATTTTTGCTCTAATATAGCAGTTTGTTAATGCATTCGAATTAAACTTTGATTAAATGTGAAATTGAGAGTGTAGGAGGAAATTGGCACTGCCAGATGTGGGAACGCGAGAGGTTGTTAATATCAGGTGTAAGGTCAGGGTCAACTCAGACAGGTTGCATGAGTTGATATCGTGATGGAGAACTGTCACGTAAAGACTCAAGGAACACTGTATGATACGTCCAAGGAAAGCTAATAAATGTGAGATTACTTCCAAGGCTTCTGAAGTGTCCCCCACATGCTGGGTAAGTATCACTTTTTATGTGTCCTAATGACAAGCGAATGAAGAGGTGCGGTTTTGATCTCCACAAGGAGCTGGGAGTAAGTACTTTACATCAGGTATTATTCTCTAATCACAACAAACCAACAAATGTTTTACCACGCAAGACGTAATGAAGTCTACGGACAGACATTTAAAAATAGACTCAAGCCAAAATAACCTGTGTAAAAGCAAGAAGTATTCTCCTTCCTTGTAATAGCAGTAAAAAAAATATTATAAATAACGTAATTAACGTTTATGTAATGATTATTGTTGATAACAAAACATGAAATGATTCTTACTTTAACACCACACTAGTACTACAGATGAACATATATCGTATAGAAACGAAATTATTATTACATAATATCTGTCACAGTAACTGTTCACGACTAACATAACCCTACAACCTCAATAATGAACGTAACAAAACTCTCTCAAAAGTTACTGCTCTCATAAAATCAGACTCACATAAAACTTAGACCTTTAAAAACTTTCAGACTGCAGCGAATGGAAAAAAGCACGAAATCTATATAATAAAAATCTCCCAACCCGAGACTACTTTCATACCTGTTCACTATATAATTATTTATACTAGCAGGAGGAGGGGAGTTTATCGAAGTGTGACGAATAACGATATTTATTAACGCAAAGTTAAAGGCAATTCATAGACTTTTTTTCATATAAGGGTAACTACCAACACGTCCCTCAAACAGTGAGAGAACTACCAACACTTCCCTCATACAGTAAGAGAACTACCAACACCTTCAAACAGTGAGGGAACTACCAACACCTCCCTCAAACAGTGAGAGAACTACCAACACCTCCCTCATACAGTAAGAGAACTACCAACACGTCCCTCAAAGAGTGAGAGAACTACCAACACCTCCCTCATACAGTGAGAGAACTACCAACACGTCCCACAAACAGTGAGAGAACTACCAACACCTCCTTCAAACAGTGAGAGAACTACCAACACCTCCCTCATACAGTGAGAGAACTACCAACACGTCCCACAAACAGTGAGAGAACTACCAACACGTCCCTCAAAGAGTGAGAGAACTACCAACACCTCCCTCAAACAGTAAGAGAACTACCAACACGTCCCTCAAAGAGTGAGAGAACTACCAACACCTCCCTCATACAGTGAGAGAACTACCAACACGTCCCACAAACAGTGAGAGAACTACCAACACCTCCTTCAAACAGTGAGAGAACTACCAGCACCTCCCTCAAACAGTGAGAGAACTACCAGCACCTCCCTCAAACAGTGAGAGAACTACCAACACCTCCCACAAACAGTGAGAGAACTACCAACACCTCCCACAAACAGTGAGAGAACTACCAACACGTCCCTCAAACAGTGAGAGAACTACCAACATGTCCCTCAAAGAGTGAGAGAACTACCAACACCTCTCTCAAACAGTAAGAGAACTACCAACACGTCCCTCAAAGAGTGAGAGAACTACCAACACGTCCCTCAAACAGTGAGAGAACTACCAACAGGTCTCACAAACCATTGGAAAATTAAATAAATGGTTCTAAGGTATTACTGATCAACTGATTTGGTTTTCACGTCGACTGAGTTTAAAGCGTCACATCTGGATGTATCCCACAGCGACACACACGAACACGACACTCCATAAACATACACTCGGAGAGCAGACCACAAATTACAACAGAGAATTTAATCCTATTTTCGTGCACACGAGCAATTCTCCCTGTGATGAGACACACGAACATCACATCTCTCAACGGTACACACGATCATTATACCTCACGAGGATACACACGACCAATACGCCACGACACGAATATTTGTGTATATACGAACAGTTCACCCGACAACGGTACATTCCACGGCTCCTAAGGGGGGATCAGTCCAAAAATATGCAATAAATGAAAACTAGTTCGATTTCAATCAAACTTTTTTAACGAGTTGTATATATAAAAGGGTTTCATCTGGTTCAAGTTTCAGCACCGTAGGATAAATAGGAAGGGGGGAAAAATATTGAATTATGTGTCAAAAATTTTCCAAAATGGTAAAACATTAACATAAAACACGTGTCAATTGAAATCATGTCTATGACTCTCAAGTATCACAATGGCATATAATAAAAATCTTTAATAATTAGTTTTATCCCCCAAAAAATTTGTTAAAAAAAAAAAAATTTTTTTTTTTTTCATTTTTGTTTATTGGACGATTTTCATGACACTTATACACCTGACTGCACGTAAGCTTATCTGTAAGGGTGCCAAGGGTGCCAGGAAATTGGTTAATGTCAACCTCAGGCACAGATGGCAGCACCTTAGACTTTATTTTTCCTTATTTATTTTCAAGTAGTATAAACGTTCCTATAACTCTTTCATTTTTTATTTAATTTACATGAAACTTACACCTTATGTAGAGTTTATGTCTCTACAAATCTGTAAAGAGCATTTTTTCCTAAGTTCATGTATTGATTTTATAACGGTAATAAACCATGACATATATGCTTAATTTTTTTTATGGAACTTTGACCATTTGTATTAGTAAAACTAAACATATTTAAAAAAATCCGCTAAACAGATCCTTTTATTATATGCTAATGTGATAGAAAAGTGTCATAGAAATTATTTCGTTTGAAATTTGCGGTTGTAGTCTCAATTTGAATATATGAAGAATTCGTTGAAAAAAAATCTCACTTTCTATTTAGGCTGCAATACTGAAACTTGGAACAATTGCAGCTCTTTTCATATACAAGAGGTAAAAAAAGATTGGTTGACATTAAACAACTTATAAGAAACGCAGTTATGACCCCCTAAAGCGGTCTAAAGCCTATACAACTACTAATACAACAAAATACAGGGTAATTATGAGAAGAAAACACCAAGCCAATACAACCATAAAACACTCAACAGGGATTTGAGGACAAGGAAGAAGGATATGAGGACAATCAGCTGGGACAGGACGCTGAGAAGGATTGATGCTTAACCATTTAGACCATCGGGGATCGAACAACGACCTGTATTAAGCGAAGCCGTCGCTGTACCGACCAGTCAAAATGGATGGGTTAATACAACCTAACCCACATATTTATTACATACAACTCACTACAACCACAATTGTTTTCCCTAACAAATGAGAGAAATAAAACAAAGCAAACCACTTGGGAAGGACGGAAGAGCGACGGTCTTGGACGCTAGATCTCAGTTCGGCGTTCAATCCACCTACAGCTCAAGTGGTTGAGTACCATTCAATTCCTCCATTCTGTCCTAAATCCTTATATTCAACCCCTCTCGCAAGTGCTATATAGTCGTAATGGTTTAGCCCTTTCTCCTGACAATTACCATACCTTTAACCCGTGAGAGCGTAATGATTTAATGAAGAGTGTAATGATTCTAACCAAACTTATTCGTGTGTATCTAACCAACGTTCTAAACAATCAAACGTCCCCTCTCGTGTATTTATGTAAACTTGCGATTAAATACATTAAGCCCTCTTATGTGTAAGGCCGCTACACTCTCTGAAGTTAACCAAATTAGTAATGAATGTCTATCTCTATTTATACTGTAAACTTTCATGAATGCATTCATTAATATAGCAATGAAATGCTTAGTAAAAACGCTAATTCGGAACGTGTTGGATGATTTAAGATACTCATGGACTACAAAGGACCTTCGAGTTTCAATGATACGATTTCGATTTTGATATCCGCTCAATTCCTTCTTGAACATCTAGTATAACCTTGTTCACGGCCTGGAACAATCAAGGACTGAATATTCAGTGTCCACAGCATAATGTTTAATTCCGTGAGCTCTCGTATGCAAATTAGACCCTCGTCCTTCAACCCTGTGATCATCAGCCAGATTTATATTTGATGACACGTCCTCTCTCTTCCCAATTCCTCTCTGGTGACGGAACCTTCCTGTCTCGACAGCACTCTGTCTATATTGGAATTGCATTATCTGTCGAGCCGTCCGTCGACAGGAGATAAAAGTCAGAAGACAGGTTGGCTGGCCCACTTGCCAGGACTAATTACCATATCCATCAGCAGGGACGCTCTCACGGTCTGCTCGTCTCTAGCCTGCCCCTGGCTGGTGGGTCTAGTGGGGTCGTCTCTAGCCTGTCCCCGGCTGGTGGGTCTAGCGTGGTCGTCCCCAGCCTGCCCCTGGCTGGTGGGTCTAGTGGGGTCGTCTCTAGCCTGCCCCGGCTGGTGGGTCTAGTGGGGTCGTCTCTAGCCTGCCCCGGCTGGTGGGTCTAGTGGGGTCGTCTCTAGCCTGCCCCCGGCTGGTGGGTCTCGTGTAATCGTGCCCAGCCTGCCCCCGGCTGGTGGGTCTAGTGGGGTCGTCTCTAGCCTGCCCCGGCTGGTGGGTCTAGTGGGGTCGTCTCTAGCCTGCCCCGGCTGGTGGGTCTAGTGGGGTCGTCTCTAGCCTGCCCCCGGCTGGTGGGTCTAGTGGGGTCGTCTCTAGCCTGCCCCCGGCTGGTGGATCTAGTGGGGTCGTCTCTAGCCTGCCCCCGGCTGGTGGGTCTAGTGGGGTCGTCTCTAGCCTGCCCCCGGCTGGTGGGTCTAGTGGGGTCGTCTCTAGCCTGCCCCCGGCTGGTGGATCTAGTGGGGTCGTCTCTAGCCTGCCCCCGGCTGGTGGGTCTAGTGGGGTCGTCTCTAGCCTGCCCCCGGCTGGTGGGTCTAGTGGGGTCGTCTCTAGCCTGCCCCCGGCTGGTGGGTCTAGTGGGGTCGTCTCTAGCCTGCCCCCGGCTGGTGGGTCTAGTGGGGTCGTCTCTAGCCTGCCCCCGGCTGGTGGGTCTAGTGGGGTCGTCTCTAGCCTGCCCCCGGCTGGTGGGTCTAGTGGGGTCGTCTCTAGCCTGCCCCCGGCTGGTGGATCTAGTGGGGTCGTCTCTAGCCTGCCCCCGGCTGGTGGGTCTAGTGGGGTCGTCTCTAGCCTGCCCCCGGCTGGTGGGTCTTGTGTGATCGTGCCCAGCCTACCCCCGGCTGGTGGGTCTAGTGGGGTCGTCTCTAGCCTGCCCCCGGCTGGTGGGTCTAGCGTGGTCGTCTCTAGCCTGCCCCCGGCTGGTGGGTCTAGTGGGGTCGTCTCTAGCCTGCCCCCGGCTGGTGGGTCTAGTGGGGTCGTCTCTAGCCTGCCCCCGGCTGGTGGGTCTAGTGGGGTCGTCTCTAGCCTGCCCCCGGCTGGTGGGTCTAGTGGGGTCGTCTCTAGCCTGCCCCCGGCTGGTGGGTCTAGTGGGGTCGTCTCTAGCCTGCCCCCGGCTGGTGGGTCTAGTGGGGTCGTCTCTAGCCTGCCCCCGGCTGGTGGGTCTAGTGGGGTCGTCTCTAGCCTGCCCCCGGCTGGTGGGTCTAGTGGGGTCGTCTCCAGCCTGCCCCCAGCAGGTGGGTCTCGTGTAATCGTGCCCAGCCTGCCCCCGGCTGGTGGGTCTAGTGGGGTCGTCTCTAGCCTGCCCCGGCTGGTGGGTCTAGTGGGGTCGTCTCTAGCCTGCCCCGGCTGGTGGGTCTAGTGGGGTCGTCTCTAGCCTGCCCCGGCTGGTGGGTCTAGTGGGGTCGTCTCTAGCCTGCCCCCGGCTGGTGGGTCTAGTGGGGTCGTCTCTAGCCTGCCCCGGCTGGCGGGTCTAGCGTGATCGTGCCCAGCCTGCCCCTGGCTGCTGGGTCTCGTGTAATCGTGCCCAGCCTGCCCCCGGCTGGTGGGTCTAGCGTGATCGTGCCCAGCCTGCCCCCGGCTGGTGGGTCTAGCGTGGTCGTCTCTAGCCTGTCCCCGGCTGGTGGGTCTAGCGTGATCGTCCCCAGCCTGCCCCTGGCTGGTGGGTCTAGCGTGATCGTGCCCAGCCTGCCCCTGGCTGGTGGGTCTAGCGTGATCGTGCCCAGCCTGCCCCTGGCTGGTGGGTCTAGCGTGGTCGTCTCCAGCCTGCCCCCAGCAGGTGGGTCTCGTGAAATCGTGCCCAGCCTGCCCCCGGCTGGTGGGTCTAGCGTGATCGTCTCCAGCCTGCCCCCAGCAGGTGGGTCTCGTGTAATCGTGCCCAGCCTGCCCCCGGCTGGTGGGTCTAGCGTGATCGTGCCCAGCCTGCTCCCGGCTGGTGGGGCTCGGGTCCCCGTGCCCAGCCTGCCCCCGGCAGATAATCTATTGGTCGATACTAATCTTTCAAGAGCGCTGGTATTGTGACAATTTACCACTATAAATCACAACAATTATCCAGTAATGTTCGGAATCCATACGAGTGCTTTCACAATAGATTCTGATATACGATTAAACTTAGTTCCCTGCCCGGCATGTCTGCTGGTAAGTAATCATTAGAACGCCACACACACACACACACACACACACACACACACACACACACACACACACACACACACACACACACACATACACACACACACACACACACACACACACACACACAATATATTCAGCTTGCTCTGTAAGGGTTTGGAGGGCTTCCTTCTTCGTGTTGAGCTGTTGCCGTATGAGATCTTTCCTATACTGCTGGGTCATGTGGGTTTATCACTAATATATATATATATATATATATATATATATATATATATATATATATATATATATATATATATATATATATATATATATATATATATATATATATATGTATATATATATATATATATATATATATATATATATATATATATATATATATATGTATATATATATATATATATATATATATATATATATATATATATATATATATATATATATATATATATATATATATATATATATATATATATATATATATAATATGCAACTCAAGACCCCTCACCCCTGGAAGGATACGCTAAGGTTCCAGACACCTTACCGTATCCAGTACTTACCCCGCTAGACGACACCGGCTGTTCAACAGAATTTGGAAGTCATCAAACCCTTAACCCAATCCACGACAGCACTCGGTGGTCATCTTTTGGGACAGTTATTTCATCGAATCACCTCACATGTTGGGTCCAAGTGAGTAACAATTATGCCAATAAGCTTGAATTGTCCCCAAGCCAATATGCAACCGAAAACTCCTCACCCCTAAAGGATTCGAACCCAGAGAGCCAGGGCTGCAAGCATCTTAGGATGTCCAGTACTTAACCCACAACCTGCTTAGTCTCTTAGTTCTGGGACTAGCGTAGTGGCATACCTCTGAACGTTTCCAGCTTCGTCTTGTGCTTTGACAAGGTACGGGCTCCACTCTGGGGCCGCATACTCCAGGAGTTTTCTTACATATCTAGTGTACAAGGTTCTGAATAATTCCTTACACAGGTTTCTGAAGGCAGTTTTGATGTTAGCCAGCCTTGCATACGACGCTGATGTCATTCTTTGTTGTGGGCTTCAAGAGACAGGTTTGCCGTGACATCAACTCCTAGATCTTTCTCTTTGTCCGTTTCATGAAGAACTTCATTTCCCATTCGGTATCCTATATCTGGCCTCCTATTTCCTCAGCTTAGTTTTATTACCTTACATTTACTTGGGTTGAACTTTAGAAGCCATGTTTTGGATCATTCTTTCAGTTTTGTCTAGATCATCTTGTAGCCTCATAGTGAATCGTTGTCGTCTGTTCCTTAAGCATCCTCTTAACCAATGGAGCACCTTTCCTTTCACTCCTGCCTGCATCTCCAGCTTGTTCACTATTCTCTTACATGGTACTGTGTCAAAGGCTCTCTGACAATCAAAAATATGCAGTCTGCCTCTCCCCCTCTCTTTCTTGTCTGATTTTTGTTGCCTGGTCGTAGAATTCAATTATTCCTGCGAGGCATGATTTGCCATCCCTGAACCCATGACGATATTTTGTGTGTGTGAGGTGTGTGTGTTTGTGTATGTTAGGATGTTTAGGTGTGTGTGTTTGTACTAGTTTGTGAGAGTATGTGTCCTTGTGTGTGCGTTTAATATTGAGTTTCCAGATAACTAAACATGAAAGGATCTGAGGTAAGCCTGAATGATTATAACGTGAGAAAACTTAGTTTAAACTGAATTTATTTTTTTTCAATTTCGTAATTGGTAGATGTTCTGGTTTGTCATTATGTAATGTTCGGCAAAACATTATTTGAAATTTTGATATTAGTGGGATATAAACATATAAACATTATTTTGTTAAACATTATTTAAACATTATTTTATATAAACATTTTTAGATATAAACATTATTTTAATTTTGATATTATCATCATTCACATTTCTGTTTTCCGTGGACAATCATTATATAATTGACCGTGATGGTGATATTACATATAGAAAGTGTAATTTACAACTCCAAATGTCAGAGTGATATTCCTTCCTTCCTCGCCTAAGTAATAACTGCAATTGATCACGCCTGGGGAGGTAATAAGGGAGCTTCTTGTGTAATTACTACAGAGCCGCGAGGAGTTCCAACACTAAATCGTTCTTGAAGTGATTTCCTACCGGATGAAGATTGCAGCTGCTGCTCGCGTTGAAGAAAATATAATGCACATATTTCCTTGCAGTTTGATCACTTTTGTCTGGTCAAATGTGAAAAAGTGTACTTAAAACCATATATATTTTCAGTCAAATGTCTAAAGGCTTATGGAATTCGAAGAAATAGATCGTATTATCTCGTCGTTTTTTTGTAAGAGGACTGTCAAGATAACCGACTTTCTTTACTGCATTGGAGACTTCTCATAAAATGTTTCAGTTTTATAAAATGCTACAAAATAAAATGAATAACAGTCGTTCGGACTCGGAAGAAATATAAGGCGTCTTAAACGTTAAGAAGCGTGTTAAGGTCCTGCTACACTAGTAGATAGGCTGGGCTTGGAGGTGAAGACCATGGAACTCGAGCGTGTATACACAAATTATAAAAAAATTTAAGAAAACTGAAAGGTAAGTTAATTTAGCAGCATTAGTGCAACAATTCCTGGCAGCGAGCGCGGTCTCTCACCCCCAGCCACCGACCCCCGTCTCCAGACCATATGATGGATCAGGTAGATCAGGATGATTCGTTCCACTAGTTTGATTAGGTTGTATAACGATTATGATTAACAGATCTGAGAGAAACATACTTTTCTTGAACTGAGATTAGGTCGACATTGAATTTACATACATTTCTGTATTATGACAATTGTTGTTTAATACGAGAAGACGTTAATAACGATATTTGCCATATGACAACTTCAAACAATAGATAAACTTTATATATATATATATATATATATATATATATATATATATATATATATATATATATATATATATATATATATATATATATATATGTCTATATGTCGTACCTAGTAGCCAGAACGCACTTCTCAGCCTACTATGCAAGGCCCAATTTGCCTAATAAGCCAAGTTTTCATGAATTAATTGTTTTTCGACTACCTAACCTACCTAACCTAACCTAACCTAACTTTTTCGGCTACCTAACCGAACCTAACCTATAGAGATAGGTTAGGTTAGATTAGGTAGGGTTGGTTAGGTTCGGTCATATATCTACGTTAATTTTAACTCCAATGAAAAAAAATTTACCTCATACATAATGAAATGAGTAGCTTTATCATTTCATAAGAAAAAAATAGAGAAAATATAATAATTCAGGAAAACTTGGCTTATTAGGCAAATCGGGCCTTGCATAGTAGGCCGAAAAGTGCATTCTGGCTACTAGGTACGACATATATATATATATATATATATATATATATATATATATATATATATATATATATATATATATATATATATATATATATATATATAAAATATATAGCACTTTAGCAGTCAACCCCAAGGGGTGAGTACAAATTTAAATAAATTATTTTTCTTTGACTCCTGTCAGAAATAATTCCACAGTATGAATCATAACAGTAAATTTATATCGCCCAAGAATTTGTCTTATAATTAGAGATAATTTAATACCAAAGTGGCTTGTCAAATTTAGATTAAGCCGCTGTACCACGGAATGCATTCTTTTTACACTTACTTGATACAGAATATTTGAGCCGCATCAGCGCGGTTCGGACTCTTCTTTGACGCTGGTTGCAAAGGATCTTAATGCCTCACATGCACGCAAAATGTCTCAGCTGGTGTGCGCAGCTCGATTTGTCCGACTCATCCACGAAGAATATATTGTTGGTTCTGGAGGCTTCATTTGTCCGACTTATCCAGGAAGAACACAGTGTATGTTTTGGAGGCTTCATTTGTCCGACTCATTCAGGAAGAACAGTGTTGGTGTTGGAAGCTGCATTTGTCCGACTCATCCAGGAAGAACACATTATTGGTGCTGGAGGCTTCATTTGTCCGACTCATCCACGAAAAACACAGAATTAGTGCTGAAAGCTTCACGTGTCGGATTTACCCACGAGGAACACAGGGTGCTGTTGGAAGCATCAAGGGTCATGAAAACGACAAAAAAAATGGATTATAGGAATGTCAGCTTTTACGTATTATTAATATTTGTTTAAAGAATATTTCATTCGTATAGTGATAATAATACTATAATAATCACACAATATATAACGATAATAAAATTGATAATGTTAAAAACACCTTTAATAATACAATTAAGTGGATTAATAAAATATAAAAAATTAAAATAATAAAAAAAATGTAATATAATATTTAGATGCCAAATTTCAAACTGAAACATATGCATCAAAAAACATAAATACAAAAATATACTTGGCATCATGGACATATATACTGAGTGGAATATACACAGCACCTTTAATTGACTCCTGGAGTATATTGTGGACAAAGGTATACTTATTGGTCAGCATGCTATTGAAGTGGAATAATAACCCTCTCGTGGTTGACAGTCTGGATGCCAATAAAAGCAAAAAATAATAATAATAATCCCCAAAAAATTAAAGCGAAAAGGAAATAGTGATGTTTTTATTTTATATTCAATCCAATATTAAACAACACCAACATCCGTTTTCGTTGGCAGATTTTGACCAACATCGATCTAAAGAGACGTATATATTTATCCACAATTGGGGCGTCACATTCCCCTCGGCCCTCAGATAATCGACTAACAAGTCTCGCTACTTCTCAAGATCCGTTGTTTGACAGTTTTGTTTAATATTTCATACTCAATATAGTCGTACAAGTCATAGTTGATCCGTCGACGCCGGTATCTGGCCTTGACTGAACTGTTGTGAGCGGACATCTGGCCTTGACTGGCCTGTTGTGAGCGGACATCTGGC